GCAAGCTGAGCTGACATTAGATTTTTAAGATAATTAATGTGCGTAGATTTTTATGGGTAAGGTTGGTCGCCAATAAGGTATGCTATGAATTTTAAATATATATAATTTGTTAGACAGCTTATTAAATATACTAAAATATCACACTACCACAAACAATTTTCAGAATGTATTAATAAACCAAAACAAATGTAGAGACAGCTTTTTGGTCTATTCCATTAAAAATTACAGATCAACACAAAACTGGTTTGGAGACTTTATCATGCTAATAGATAGACTGAACGCTATGGATGCCGGTTTAATCCCGCCCATGCCGTTTTTTTGTAACTAAATAAATTTTAACCGTTATTTGCCACTGGTTTCGGCCATCTACGCATATCGATCCGATCGTGACATATACACGCGCCACGTAAATAGCAACCCTTGCCAAAATGTTATGAACTTTTACAGTTGGCACAAGAACGCCTTGGATATGCTACCTACAATGAAATATGCGGCGTCACCACTAAGTCACACACCGTCTGCCATGACTGGCCGATGTCCAACCTATGACAAGCGTTAACATCATCGCCTATTGCAGACCTAGATCTTGGCACAACGATATTTATTTCCATTATAGAATGACGTCTTATTACAAGAGACAAATACGATAGAATGGTAGAAATTAGAAGACGTTGTACGCGACAAATAGTGACTACAGATGTAAGAAGAGACCGGCCTCTGGCTTTGACGAGCTCGTTGCTCCAAAGCAGGTCGTGGGAGATCAAAAGCTTAAGAAGTCCATAGACCATCTAAATTAGAATGTACAGGGAGATTGTCTTTCACGTTCCGCCTGGATCCCATGCTTATTAAACACTAACAAAATACTCTCTATTATAAAAATATAATATACTAGCGACCCGCCCTGGTTTCGCTTGGCCGAATTGCTGATACTAAATAAACTACGGAAACACTGTGAACGTTGTATATAAAAATCTTCCTCAGGAATCGCTCTATCTATTTAAAAAACACATCAAAATGCGTTGCGTAGTTTTATAGATTTAAGTACATAGGGACAGAAAAAGCGAATTTGTATTTTATACTATGTAGTGATGACTCAGTATATAAGACTGATCACAATCATTCGTAGTAATCAGCAAAGGCTTGGAAATGCAAAATCGTTGTTAAACATTTAATACATAGCTCCAAAGCGAGTACTTTCTTTCTAAAGGCCAACGGAGGTTGTTCTGAGAAAACAAATTAAACTGCAGCGGGGTACAATTAATTACCGCCACAAATGCAAGAAATCTCGGTGCAAATGAATAAAATTATGCAACTACTTTTAATAAGCCTTTAATGAACGCGAAGCATTTGGTATTTATATTTTTCTCGTCTTAATTCACAATTGAGATTAAAATAAAAAATCGTATTTAAAACGTCTATTAATCTTATTTATACCATATTTCTAACTTAAATTAAAATAATATGGTTTTATAGTAACGCAAACGAACGTCATAGTGTAGCGTCATTTTACGTCAATACACGAAAAGATTGCAATAAACGGTTTGATTTAAACGTAGTCGTTACTACCACGCGGAAATATAATAGATGGAAAATATAACTATAATTTGACATAATTTATTGTAAAGTAAGTGTAGTAAGTGTCACACAGTTGTAAATATATTATAATAATCTTCTTCGTAGATATCGAGTCGAAAATAAGAAATTTATACGATAGAAGGCCAATTATCTACCAGAACTTCGATTAATCGAATCACCAACCCATCCGAATCGGTCTGACGTATTGCTTCCATAAAAACAATATTTGTGACGAAGCAAGAACATAAAAATGCGAGACAATTGCTGTTGAACGCTACAACGGTAGATATCACTACAATTGTAACACACGTCGAACTCGAAGCTCGCTGGAGTCCAGATATATTTCAACTATTACAATTGAAAGCTAGAAGCTCTTTGGTTAACCATATAATACATTTTATTCTATGTGTGATAGTTCGATTTTTTTTCCTACCAGTTTATATTCGATTATCCGGTCTCAAGTTATTCGGATAATCATCGTTCTATACTTTATAAACCTATAAACATTTTAGAGGAATTTATAAGTATTTTTTGATTTATTGAGATCTGGCCGTGAGTGTAGCTGACACATTGGTAATAATAATTACATACACATTCGCACGTATGAAGTACGTATTACGTACCACGAATTTCATGACATCACATTTTGCAATTTATTTTTAGAGCTCGTTTGAGCCTTAAAATAATTCCCATGTACTCTACAACGCGCCAGACAACACTCCTATTTCTATCTTGAACAATCTATGTAGACAAGAGCATGATTATAATATGTTTGATTTACTTTGTTATATTTTAAACAAACCTTGCTTAATGATATCAAAGAATACTTTTACGCAACATAAATACACTTTGCTTAATCAAAGTAATAATAATAAATTACAAATTACACACTATCTCATTCTATATGCCAAAAATACTTATTAGTAATGCATATTTTGAGTCTTAGCATTCCTGAAAAAATTTTTCTCCTAACATTGAATATTATGTGAACACATGTACAGCGTCCCTTATCTGACCCTTTATACACAATTTAAAAGCGGATTGCAGATTTCAAAGCATTTAGTTTGCTTTGAATTTAATTGTAGCTATTCACGATTTCAACATTTAATTTTTCCTTGCGTTTCCTCAATTTCTCAACCAATTAGTGCCCTGCTAGAGAAAGATCTCTTCTAAAATAGAACTGAGGGTTTTAGAAACTTTACCCATCACTACTCTCCGATGTAATTTGGCAAGCTAAAAGAACTACTGCCACTAAATTAGTAATGGTAATCAGAACCGATAGCTTAACAGACTAAAATAGTAATTCGCCACAAATATTTATATCTATTATTGATCTAATAACTGTCAAGACATTTGAATCTCAATTTCAAAACAAAAAAAATCTTTATACAGATAGAATGCTAGTTCATAGATTTATTTTATTTTATTTTCATAAAAGATAATGCTAGCATTGTTATAAAATCAATTTATTATATGCTTATAAATTATATTATATTATGATTATATATTTATAATTATGCTTAGTTGCATGTTCTTTAGTAAGCTGTTGTAGATATATATTTTTTTGGTATTGAATGCAAAGCAATAAAAGACTTAGTACCTAACTTTATTGAAGTAAATAAAGCTTTGTTTTATCTTAAAAGTACAGTGTTAACAATTAAGTAAACTGTTTTGGTTTTTTCTTTAATATATTAAAACATTTTTGGATTAATGAAATTAAGTTGGTAGGCTATAGGCTAACTATAAGTATACCTTATAGTTAAGAGGATCCTCCTAAAATTAAAAATAGCTTGTTTATTCCTAACAAATGAGAATTTAATTAATTAGGAATAAACAAGCTATATTCATTTGCTATGTTCAAAATGTTTATTTCTATATGTAATTCAAGATGTTAATATTACACAAATAAATAGTTGACTATTTAATATTAACATAGATACTGAATACTAGCAAACCTCGTTGCAATTGATCTTATTAGAATGGGGTTTTAACAGACAAAATTAAGAATACCAATAATTGGTAACTAAATTGTATTTACAATAATAATTATTATAAATACAATTTAGTTAACTGCTTTCCTTAAAAGGTACAAAACCATATGAATTCTTATTTGATACAAGTAAAACAAAAGTCATGTTAGTATTATTGGAATGCCGTTTTTTCTTGTATGTAACATTTTATTTTTTCTTAATAGAAACATAAAAAGACTTACCTGAAGGTGAAGCATGATGGTACAGCAAGCAGCAGACATGGTAACCTCAAATGATTCACTGAAGTCCTTAACTACTTAACACTTACTATCTCTAAATTACACATTACAAGCAATGGGATACACTTATAACTAATACGTTAGGACAAGAGACTCTATGATACCAAAACAATATTCTTACTAGCATATAATTATTTTAACAAATGTTGTCTTGACAAAACTATGGATTTATTATCGTTAATTTGCCTTAATAAAAACCTTTACACCATGACTGATAAAGCAGTGCTTAATTCGGAATTTTTATAAATAAATTACCGCAATAGATGAAAACACTGATTGTATTAAATTACTGCAAAATTAGTTTTTTACGCAGATGTACCTACATATCGAAAAAAATTCACATCGAAAGTACTCTTAGTACCACTTATATCGCAGAGATAATTAATTTGGTTATTATACCAAATGCATTGCCTATTTTTTTCTAAAATGTAGAATTGACAACTAAAACAAATTATAGAACTGCATTTTTGTTGAAACCTGCGGCCATATTTGCAAATCTATGGCATAAGGTTGCCATAGGATAAAAATTATGTATGTTTAAAGAATATAGGTTATATTTTCAGATAAACAAAGACAGGTAGGTAATTTTAGGTGGCCAACATATAATTTATAGTATTTAAAAATACGGAAATTTTCTTTTATAACGCACTCAGACAAATTAGGTTAAATGCAGCACAGAGTCCAAAAGCCCTATATTTGACATACAACTGGGCACCATAGATGATATGTGTCTTCGGTTTACTCCATCACAGATATCTCAACTAACTCTGGGGTATGTTTACACAGTTAAATATTTGACCTAAAGGTTGTACATACCAGGTCATAAAAACCCATAAAAAAAAAAAACAGTTAAATATAGTTATGAAAAAGTGTACATACAACTACATATATATATATAGAAAACTGTTATTTGTAGGTACACAACTTTGCTTTACAGTTATAATTTGCAAAATCATAGCTAACTTTTTTAATCTTAATATATAACGAAAAAGTTTTTCGTGTTGTATTAGTGGAGTCAGTTGTTAAAATTAGTTGTTACTTCAAAATGGCCATGAACATTGAAATGCATTAACAAGTACTTAAAAAGTATACAAAGCAAAACTTCTTATCTTTTCTGTGACTTCCGTTCGAGAGACCGTATTAAAATACTATTGTGATGGGTAAGGATGTTTGGAATACGCATATTTTATATCCTAACACAAAAATAAATAATTTTTCATACAACTTTATATTGTTTTCAGAGCATGTTGATGACTATGAAGCACTGAGAGACTTTTTGCTTGAAGCTGAGTTGCATCAATATTATGAATTATTTAGGTATTTATCACGATTTAATATTTTACTTTAGTAAATATAACAAGGCGCGATTGTTTCATCTCTTTTTCTGAATAATATATATCTTATTCCTAGAGCTGAGTGTCTGCTAAATTGATTATGCTGTAATAAAGCACTTAATTTTTTAAAATAACTAAATGTCATTATTTATTTTGATTATAGTATATTATAATGATGCTGGGCAACTTTGTTTACTTAAGTGCATTGTAGGGTTAAGACTTAGATACATATGACTTACAGACTTAAACTTATTGTGCTTTTAAGGTGCTAACTATGTCACAATGATATTTTTTAGTTATAAGTATGTTATTATTAGTTGTTAGTTTTATATTATAAATAAACAAACAACAACAGTTTATTAACTGAATATTTTGAAAACATCAAAAGCATATAGTTTTCTCTATAAATTTTAAAATAAACCTTCATTTTTGTGATAAGGGATATTTAATCTGTAAAAATAAAAAGTTTATGATGAGTTTAGCTATTACCTTTTTTGTTATTTTTAAGTGTGACAAGACACTGTTATTTTCAGGGACATACTTAAAGTTAGTAAATTGTCGCAGCTTAAATATGTAGCAATTGAAGATCTGGCCCAGATAGGGCTGTCCAAACCTGAACAAAGACGATACAAGAAACTTTACGCCAAATACTTCCCTAACAACTACATGACGAAGATAAAGAAGCTTCTTAGTGCTAATAAAAGGCATGATCCAGTAAGTACAAAATAAAAAAAAACATATTTAGAATCAAATTTGCTCATTAAATCTTCTATTTTATGTAGCAAGAATTGTCTGTATTTTTTAATATTATAGTGAAAATCATTTTTGGGCAATAACAAACCTACGAGTGAATTATTATTAAAGAGTGATTTTATCTAAACTCAATATTTTCTACCTATTTTTTGTAAATAGTAGAACTTCAAATTTTAACATGTCCATCAATTAAAGGCAACCAATGACCAACTTTTATTTATAAAAACTAATGCTGAAATTACAATTCTACATGCCAACACTATATTTTAACTGACAAAGTCTCAGGAAGGCCTAGAAGTGAATAATGATGAATTTAGAATGCAGAGGACTTTTCTGCTATTTTTATCAATAAAAAATTTTACTTTCAGTTTGGTCACAACTTCAATCTAAGCACCATAGAGTTTCCACAATATCCTGAAAGTAGTACAAAAGTGTCGCCTAAACATATAATATCCATAGAAGATATCACAATTAATAAGGAATTAGGGATGGGTCAGTTTGGTGTGGTACAACAAGGAATATGGACTACAGGCAATCAAAGAGTTAGTATTTTTTTGTTCCCATAGTTATCCTACTACTGGACATCCTCCATTACTAATATACAATTAGTAATGATTATTATTTGCTTTTGGGGACAGGGATGGAAGGCTGTGTGATGAGTTCACATCATTTGTTGACAATTCTAACCATTGCCCTTGCCTTAGCTGAGGATTTCGGGTTATGCTGAGAGTCGTATAACTCCATCTTCTAACATTCTGGTTTCTTTACTGGATCTTACTATCTGTTTCATCTTTAATTTGTTGATCATGATGACCAATACCTGAAATCTCTGTCTGAGGAAAAAGACAGTGAAATTGCTTATCGTATAAAAAATGTACTAAGGCTATAAATAGGTAGTTATTTTATTTATTGAACCTTAAATAGACTTGATGAAAGTATATCATTGCATTTTTGTAGTTAAATTTAAAAAAAAGCATTTCTTTCTGTCCAATATATGTTAGGCATGAAAAACGAAATGGAATAATTTTTATGTGATTTACAGCTTCAAGTAGCTATAAAATGCCTCGGCAACGAGCGAATGACCTCAAACTCCACCGAATTTCTCAAAGAAGCGGCTGTGATGCACAGTATTGATCACCCCAGTATTGTTAGGTTATATGGTGTTGTTTTACACTTGGACTCTTTAATGTTGGTAAGCAATCAACCCTTCCCTATTATGATGTTAGCATTGTCAGACAAATTGTAATGAATTTCACTTAACTTATATGATATTTGAAGCAAGATCATCAGAACATTCCGAATTCTGTGCTGATTTCACTGCAGTTTTTCATAGTTGCAGGCAAAAGGTTTCTACCATAAAACAATTGATTCGATTATACAGTTTATTACTTTTTCCTAAAATTCAAACTCAATGTAAACTCATTTTGAGCTTAGTATTTCGAAGTATTCTTAGTTTTGATAAAAAAATTGGAAATCTCGATGTCCATGTGTAGTGCTGAGGTATACACATATTTATACGCAAAGCATTTTTTATTATTTTGTACACAAAAACCAATATACTTAAAATGTTGTGACAGTTTTCCTATCCTTTATTCTCATCACATATTTAACTAATTTAATATAACTTAAAAAAATATATAAAATAAGGGTAAACCAGGTAAACAACATTATTAACAGGCAAGAAGTTGTTAGGTGTGTTGTTACTGGACCACCCAGTTAAAGCTATGATGTTTATCTGAAACCTCTTAACCGTTAAGCCACAAATCTAATAACTACAATCAATTAGCCAGTTCAAACTACGCGATATACCCTAATAATTATGTATCTCATTTCAGGTGACAGAACTAGCACCATTGAGGTCCCTCTTAGAATGCCTCCGTGAAGTGACGTTACGGAGTAACTTCCCAGTGCCTAACCTTTGTGAGTTTGCCGAACAAATCTGTGATGGAATGACTTATCTCGAAAATAAAAGACTGATTCATAGGTTTGTACATAAACTAGACGTCTTTATTATTTTAATTTTATCCCTTTATGCCACACTGCACACAATTGATCTCATGATACACGTTATGAGATATCTATTGTGTGAGAAATCTGATAATAATATATTGTATAACATTACATAACAACTACGGGCTTTTTTGTCGGGCTTGTGTTATGAAGTACATCTATATAATCTGTAAATAAAATGGGTGCTAGCAATATCAATATTCCCTCAGGTCAGGAATCACCGCCTGTATATGAAATTGAAGTGTTAAGTTGGCATTTCTTTTTCTGTCTGTGGATTTCCAAATATCCAAAACCGAAATAGGTGGAAAAAGCACCTTGTTCAAATTTTATATGGCTGGGATATTTTAACCTCCATCAAGTAAAGCCCAAACGTTATACAAAACTTTCAGCATTTTATCAAATTAGAAATTGGGCAATAGGCATTATCTATATAAGGTAGGAATCTGCATGAGTAAAGAAGCTGAAATTAGTGTTTCATGACAAAAGTAGAAATGTATGAATGTATGGCTCACTCATGATAATAACCCAGCTTTCAAGACACTTTAGACATTACACCAGTGATGTCTAAAGTGTGTGACACGATTTATTTATTTCAGTTTAAACATTTTAAATTCGATATTTTTTTTTATATATACATATTATTTCTGGCTCAGCTTATACAGAGTATGATGTATTTATTTCTTAATTTTGTGTTTCCAGGGATCTAGCTGCCAGAAATATTTTAGTTTTTAGCAAAGATAGAGTTAAAATTTCCGACTTCGGACTGTCGAGAGCGTTGGGAGTCGGAAAGGATTATTATCAAACAAATTATAATGTTAATCTGAAACTACCTGTTGCTTGGTAAGTTTTTTTTTATGTTTATAAATTTAAGTGTTACTTCTTTTCAACTGCCAACCACCAAGTAGATTATTTCAGTAAGGGAGTTGAGGAAAGAGACACCAACACTTACCAAATAATATAACTCTTTTGCAAAGCTACTTAGAGTTTCTGAGCTCTATGTGATTAAGAAATCCTTATCAAGAATGCCTTTTAGCTCTAGAAATGATCGTGCAACTCACTTGTTATGATCAATCGTCGAGAAACATAATATGAAAACCACTATATAACAATTTTAAAACCTTCATAATATGTACTAGGATATTCTGAACTAAAATAGTTTAAAATACTGTCCTTTCTTTTCAAGGTGTGCACCCGAATGTATATTGTACCTTCGTTTCACTTCGTCGAGTGACGTGTGGGCTTTTGGTGTTTGTTTGTGGGAGATGTTCACCTATGGTTTCCAACCGTGGGTGGCTTTTTCGGGACAACAAATTCTGGAGGCCATCGACGCGCCGAACTATCAGGTATTGAGATAGGATCTATGAAGATAGACTAATAATTTATGTGCTATTATGGACTTCCCAGTCAATAAAAACAATTTACTATGCCCGGGCTTCTATATTTATCTTTACTAATGTAAATCAAGGAGATACAATGTTTTACTGTGACAGCCTTGTTTTCTTGTTTTATGTGCAGCCGGCTTCTGTTAGGGTAGGAAGGGAACCATCTGTAACGGTCAACTTAAAATTTTACGGGCTCGTATGGCTAATAATCAACGAGTCGTGGATTCGATCCCCAACGGGTCCAAAATATTTCTATTTTTTATAATATGTCTGAAACACGTTGCACTTCGTCTAGAAATCTGCATATTAAATGGGTGCAAGGAAAATCGAAATTCCGTCCGGGTCACGAACCACCGTCCACAGGTGAAAAAGCCATCAAGTGTAGTTGCGTTTCGGTTTCAGTCTGTGGATTTTGGAATATCCAAAGCCAAAATAGGTCGACAGCGTATCTTGTGTAGATGTTATATGGCTATGGTATGTTACCTCCCGTCACGTGATCACGCGTACCTACTCTCAATAATTATATCGTATTTATTTTCGTGTACATTCTGACAGAATAGACTAGACCTGATACCAAAAATTCGATAAATGTCATATAAGTTAATTTATGTATGGGCGCATTTAAGCCAATATATGTTGTAAGTGCTACTTTGCCGCAACACTCTCACTTCACATCACTCCTACTCTCATTCCTACACTCACTCCCACTCAAAGAAGAAAGTTTCATTGTTCTAGCTTCAAAAACCACGAATTTCCATAAAAATTTTCATCCCCTTTTTTAACCCCTATCAACCCTTTTTTGGCATTTAAAAGATATAAGTTATTTACATAAGTTTTATACTGTTACATACAATCGCGTAAACTAAAATTGCAACAAATGACGCTTTTATTGGTTTAAAATGCCTATGATGAATACGCAGTTGCCATTGTCGTAGAAAATCCGAAACGTCGGGTCGTTCCAATTTTAAACCGTTAAAAAGTCAATAACGTGATACGAAATGCTGTTATTACAGAGACTAGAGCGACCAGAATGCTGCCCTGATGCATATTATTCATTGATGTTGGAGTGTTGGGCTCATAATCCGAACGAACGACCAAAGTTTAAAGATCTGAAGCCAAGGTTAAAACAAATCAGACCTGAAGAGGTAATTATTAGGCCATATAAATACAACACTAACCCTTATTACATAAACACATACACACATCAAAGAAACACACACAGATGTCCACAAACACATACACACATCCACAAACACTGATACTCCGTGAATAAATAATGCAATGCCTATGTGGGCTCATTGATTGAATTGTAGTTTTTGTCAGGTTCACGTCAAATGTGTTACTAAAAATCAATTTATTCTTCTGTAACTGTAAGCTATGAATTGGTTTGTCGAAATTTCCATATATCCCAAATAGGACGACAGGGCATATTTTTTAAATGTGACAAGAGAGACTAACTTTTAAAATTAACTGCTCATTTAAGGTCCAAGTCACGTGTAATTATAACAAAGCGGAAGACGGCCGGAGAAGCAACTTCCTCGAATATAAAGCTGGTCAGAAGATAACTGTACTAGGAAAAGAGTAAGAATAATAGTTCTTCTAAAAATTTTAACTACTTTATTTGTGTCAATAAACTTGCTCTTAAATTTTTTTTAAAGCGCGTTGTATGTCTATGCTCTTCAAATTAAACGAATTTCAAATGTGATTTTTATAAATGGTCTCTCTAATGTAATGGTTTATACATTACATAAGATAGATTAATTATAAGGACTGCTGCAAAGCATAACGTCGGATCGTAGTTTAAAATAAGTAACCTAATACTTCGAGTTTTAAACCGTTAAACTAGTCGCGTAATCCACAGGTATTACTTAGAAATATGTTTGATTGTCACGTCATTATTTCCGAAAATTTTTAATTAATCTGTAAAATACAAAGTGCAATTGTATAGGCTATTAATATTAATAATTAAGTTATAGACGGTCAATTAAAAGTACGTCTTTATATTGAGTTACTTTGCTGCTGCTGCAGAGCAAAGTGACTCTTGGCATCGAAAACAAGGGAATGTAATTATACATTTATGGTAATAATGTTTTAGGAACTTCACAAAAACTGCAATGTGGTATGGAGTTCTACCAGGTGGAACGTGCGGGCTCTTCGACCCCAACTACACTAAACCATACATAAAGAATGAGGTGAGTGATGTCCTCAAAATATACACATTTTCATCAGCATGAATTGTCCTCAGTTTATTTGCTTCATCATCGCTTTTCAATATGCAAAAATGCTTTTCATTTCAAGTTTGTTATATCACTGGAATTACATTTTTATTTCACGTTTACCTGGATTCGTGTAAACAAAGAGTTGTGGACCTTTATGTTATGTCATACAGATTGTAAAATAACAAACAATCGAGTAAAACTTGAGACTATAACGCGTTTTGATAATAATAAATCGATATTCAGAGTTCATAAGTGTACTGAGCTACGTATATTTGAGTTTAAATTTGTTGCAAATGGTGAACGCGTTTCGTTAAGCTGGTTTCTAATACTGTTAAAAAAAAGTTTCGGTCTGGTTGGGCACAGACGTCTGATCAACTACTTGCTTGAAAATTAAATTCGCCAAAAATACGGATATTGAAATGTGATCGGCCCATTCTGTAAAGATTTCACTCTTTGTTTTATGAGATAAAGACATTTTGGATTCATGTAGCTGTTCAAAAAACGGCATTAGTTTTTTTTTTTTGCTGAAGAAGATGCGATACCTCAGGTCCTCGTTAAAAAAAGGAATATATTTTGCATTTTAAACTGTATTATTCGCGTAAACTACTGATAATACTCACAATTCACTATGTTAGAATGGATAAAAATAAAACAAAACCAATCCATTCTAGATAAAACTTCTTTCAACCAATTGTAATTTTCATCAAACCAGTCGTTGTATGGTCTACTGTGTTACACAGTACACACTAAAGCATACAAAACGACATTTACAAAAGCGCTACAAGTAGTACTATCGTATGACATCCACAAACCCTTGCTTTACATTACCCCTTTCTGCTCAGAGGTCTCAGTCATTCGTGCCTGGTTCGTTCTCACCGCATCCGGCACGGTCCATCCGCTCATCGCTAACTCGAACTGACGTTAAACGGCACACATTCACCGGCAAACGCACTATACAACGAAACATGATATCTAGCCCACAAGGCGACGTGAAACACACAGGCCACGTGGGTTTGGATGGCGCGTACTTCGGCGATATATCGTTCCTGGATCCGGCTGGCTGTGTAAGTTGCTGCTTCTCATTGATAAATGCTTGGTCACGCGCTAGCAAAGCTTTTGGTAATGACCAAAGCTGGTTATCTGGTGGTTATTCATTATAGTATATGTATATCATTGTCTATGGTCTAAAAGTTTGAAGATGTTAGGAATACAAATTCAAGTAGTAAGTGCAGTTCATATATAGTTAACGTATTTATCGTGGTTTGATTTGTTATAATTGGGGTGGTTTTTTAAACGTCCTTTAGTTTTAGATATTTGTACTAAGTATTAATAAATAATTATATATGTTTTATCTATTGCTAGTTAAGTTTAAATTTTTAGAAATACCAGATATTATTGTTTTGTATTAGATTCCTAGATAGAGAAAAATCATTAGACCCTAAGGTAGTGATTTTTATTCTACAATCCATGCTTCTAGTTTACTCAAAAAATGGAAAGCAAAATAGATATAATATATACCTCAAGAAAAATAGCAAAATTTGATTGTTCTGTTTTTGTTGTAACTTGAAAGAAATTGTAAAGAACACTACTGTGTCCAATACAGTAATTACCTAATTATTGAAACTGTATTTGTACTTATACAAGTATATATGTATAGTATCAAATGTATAGTCGATTTGGATAATCTTCCACGTATCTCTAAGGCAACACAAAGAGTTTCAGAAGTTTAATTGTCGCATATTCATCTTAAATATCCCGTAAAGATAGATAGGTTATATAATTAGAGTTGCCTCAAAGCCTGCCTGCATTTAATAATGTGTACTGTGCAAGCATCGCCAAAAGTATACCATCGGCCATATTTCGAATTATGACAGGTTGCTATGGCAACGCTCTGCACAAAGCCTTGTTGTACCTAGATGCGCGGTGAGATCAATAATGCAGCCTGGCAACAGCCCAGCAACAGGCGAGGGAAACTGTAACAGGGGGGGGGGCTCTAGAATGTTCGCTTTTCCTGGAATAAGGAACTGCAGTGGGTGCCGCATTGGCCTTCATGATATTGCGCATGAATATTTTCCCCCACGTCCTGGCAATATTGATTCGGTTATCAGTTTCGCTGAATGTTAAGGTTACAACCCAAACAAACGGCTTCATGGCGCTTAACAGCGGGGCATACACGAGCGTTTTTTAAGCAAAATCACAGAGGGAACGGTACCTTTATTTTCAAAACTATACAGGTGCCGCCAGACTTATAACAATAAGGTTAATAGAATATGGCTTTATAGAAGCATATTTGTAAAAGTTCATTAAAATCTGCTTAGTTTAGATGTAAGAATTCTTTCTCTGATTTCAAAAAATCCAGTTGTAATACAGACACTAGAATAATTGATAATCATTGATGCTTCTGAAGTTTAAATTTTTCATTCATCATCTACTAGCTTCCAATCATCAAAGTTTCTTTTATAAGACTCAAACTGGGACTTCTTTCGAAAATCCAAATATGCTTCACTAATGGTACTTTACAATTCTTTCTCTTCACACTGATAGACCTACAAAATGGCGAGCCTGTGACCTTTACTGCGACAAGTAGTCTCTGTCGTTTTCCTAATTCGAAATTGTTAGAAGAAATATAATACGAGTATTTAAATGGTTATTTTGAAGTTTACCGTAGTATTGCCCCCCCCCCCTTCCCTAGCCCCACACCACACGGGAAGTGCAAGGCAAGACCAGCCCCGTGTATAAGCAGCCTAGCATCCCAAATGCCCAATGGGTGCACTTCACGATGTAAATCAGGATAGTTTAGGGAGCTTCCGCGCAGTCGCGAGTAACGATCTAGTGCAATTATGCAACATAACAACGACTCCAATTGCAAGTCCTGATTTGCATGGCTAACCTGTTGAGCAACAGCCGTGTGCATAAATTATTCCGCCGGTATCTCTTTGTGTAAAAAAAATATTTTAAAAATTTAAAGTTTTATTATATCTAGTGGAAGTTGATGTTAGGAAATAATATGTTAGATAAGTAGGAAATTTTTTTCCCAAAAAATCTTCGCGATTTTCGGGCTTCGTGAAGTATCCCGGGACGCACCGAGGTATGAATATTTTTTTTTTAATAGTCGTAACATTCTCTTTTCACCTGTGTTCAATTGGAAAAAGTTTTTATAGTTCTGTAAAGTTATTGCGCAGTATTTTTCATACAAAGTCAGTGTTGTATTGAATTTTGCCAGAGATGACCTTAAAGTACTCGGGTTCTTTAATTATTTTGTTTAGTTTATTAAAATTAAATAGCCGTATCGTTTGGTTTCCAAAACTGAATTCAACTTTTTCTTTGTTTGCCAACAGCCCCCTCGGCAGATTGTGACGCCGTACAGGCCCTCCGAGGATTTGGAGCAGGTGCCCCTAATCAACCCAAACTCACCGTCTCACCTGACAGCGGCATCAACACCGTACCCCCTCCTGAGCTCATCGATAGAGCCGGGAGCGGACTGCGACCAAGTTGGTTTATCCTGTAAGTACCAACCAAATATTAAAGTTGCGAATATTTTTAAACAATAAATAGCGGAGCGAAAGCAAAAGCGTTGGATAAGATTGCGGCGGGACGGCTATCAGGCTATTAAAAAAAAACAAACCTTTCGTCGTTTGATTTTTGGACTTTATCTTCAATAATAAAAAAAACGGATCTAAATACCAAAGTAATACAGTGTGTAGAAGCAGAAGAGAGGTAGTAAGAGACGTCCGAACAGTGAAGAAGTTTCAAACTACCTTCCAGTCATTAGATGAAGAAATACATTTTGTGTGTTATAAGATGTGGACAATTACATTTATATTCATGTATCTTATGTTATGTAAATTTGATCTTGAAATAAAGATAATGAAAAAGCAATTTGTATTATTACTACTGTTCACGTATATGTAATAAATGACATCTGTATAATATTTATTTGTGCACCCCCCGCCGTTCTCAGAATTACCTTCACGCCTGCCTCCCCCCCCTTTGACAACGCTTGCGCTTTGCAACTGCGTCGCATTTCACGACCAATGCCAAGGGTATGTTTTGGTTTGCAGCGGGAACAGTGAGGAATTGTAAACAGTATTCCATTGTATACAAACTTTTTAAGCCTGAAATCCTCTCTTAACCGTTAACTATGATAATTATTACCGTGACTTCAAAACATAATGTATCGTAAGTTTTTATTATATACCCTATTCTGACGCTTGGACAGAGATGGTTAGTTAAATATATTGCAAAAACAGATTACAAAAAGGCGAACGCACACGCTCAAATCTAAAATATACAAGTAATTAAGACGTTTGACCAAAAGCGGCCTTATTTCGTATGGCGATTTCTTCCAGGCAAACTTTGTATGGAAAGAAAAATATGTTTTTTATTGAGCTGCTTCTTTGTATATATTATATGTAATCAAATTGCCCTTTACTACTTTTTTCCGAACTGTACTCGCGATTATGGTATTACTGAGTATTTTATTCTGTGGCGGGTTTCCTAGAATCTGATTACACGAGCCTTCCCGATTCCGGGAGATAGCGCTTGCGCTGAATGCACTTGAATATTGGTTTTTAAACTACGCAGTAAATTTTTATTCAAGGTTAAGTTCAGTTTTCACGCTGCACCGATAGAGCCCGAAGTACCTAAGTGAAATTGTTTGCGTTATTATTTACTTTTGAATGAGTTGACAACTTTTAGAACTTTTTCGGTTTAAACTAAAACGCGTTTATGAAAGTGTTGTATGCTTTTCATTCGACTTGCCTTTGTTTGATAAAAAGCTAAATAATTAAAGAAATATAGTGATCTTACACATTATAAGCCTACCGTAATGTTGGGTCAAAAGTTCGCAGTAGTTCAAAATAATTGTGAGACAATTTTTTCTTAATTCTTCTCAACACTCAAATGTTTTTTTTTAATCGCTACTCAACCGTTAGACGTTGAGTGTTCGAATTTTCCTTTTGTTTTTCGATATTATTATCTTGATATTTGGGATTATTACTAAGTCGTCTCTCGTGAAGGCTTATAGATTTCTTCGTAACTGAAACTAAATACGAAGGTATTAAAACTGATTGCCTGCTAGTTCTGCTAAAATATTTCAAACGTTTTAAACATTTTTAAAATATATTTTTAAAGCAATTATATCTCTCGTCGAAAATCAATTTGTTAGGAAATTGGAGCGCGTTTAAATTTGCTACTACTAACTCACTTTACTCGGAAAATAACGAAGTTAATAGCAAAATATACGCACCATGTATCACGCACGACCGCAGGCAAAATTATCTTATTATAAGTACTATAAGTTTTTACTTTAAAATATGGAATAAATTTCATAGTTCATGTTTTCGGCGTAGTAACATATTTACATGTTGAAGCTACTGAATAAAAAATTGAAAAGTTCAATTTATAGGAATTATGTGGGAATGAAGTAAATTTTGTAGCTTTGTTTGTTCAATTAGTGAGAGCTGCTGAAAATATAATATTGCACAATCATGAATTCAAAGGCTGCGTGTACATTGAAGTACGGTATCCCTGAAATAATATTTGAATGATAGGTTTATTAGTCCTCTGGCTGGAATTCTGGGAAAGGACGTTTGTTCAATTATTGATTTTGAATCTAGGCAGTATATTTCAAGAGCAATGTTAAAGGTTAAAACTGTTGATATTGAAACTTAAAAGATTAGGATCGGACTCTATCTCTCTATTTCAAACTGAACTTGGAAACTTCAGCCGAGACATAGAGATTTACGTCAATGCCATTTCAGAGATAGTTTATTAAATGAAGGGAACAATTGAAAGAGTTGTTTTGCGATCGAAAATACTTTTAAGATACGTATTTGATCATGTTGCCACTCTTTGGTTGCCGTGGTTGCACTGCACAATTCGTTTTCCTCTTTTCATGCTTGTTCGCGTATAATTTCGTCGTTTATGAACCGATCCTGATAGTTCTTATTTTGTTAATTTTTTTATAAATGTTCATTATATTGAAATTGCGATGATCACAGCCCGGAAAAAGACACTTCTCAACGATTCAAGGCATTTGAGTTTGAGCTCAAATTCTTTTAATTGTTAATAACTTACACCTAGGTTGGTTGTTATGACTATAATAATGTCTGACGATGAATACAAGATGCATTTTCCCTACTTCTCTACTTACGGAATATTTAATACGCATTTTGATCTACTTATTTTTTATGAAGACCAACAGACATGGAGTTCACTCGGTGGAAGGTTAAATACTCGGGCATATAAAATCTAAACAAGATGTGCTATCGACCTATATATGCTTTGGATATCCGAATATCCACAGACTGAAACCTAAACAATATTAAACTTCACGGTTACATCTGTGGTACTTGACCCGACAAGATTTCGATATTCTTACATGTTTTAGAAAAATTATAAATTTATTAGAAACGTGTTGCAACGATGGAACGCGACCCATGTCGTGCGTTACTTAAATTTATAAAGATAAAAAGGAGATTCGCAAAAACAAATTTGGATGCCCAAAATAACTATACCACGCGGACGAAGTCGCTGACACAGCTAGTGTTGAATGTTCGCCCGTGTCCTCTCATGTAGAAATGTAATTCCGTTGAATGCTGCAAACATTTACCGTCATATGAATATTCCCTTTGCATTTAATACTCGCTGCTCTAGCCGACACGTGTAACGGACAAAGAGATTCTATTTTAGCGCACAAGTTCCATATCCAAGTTCAAGTTTAATTAAATAATGTTAATTAAAGTGTGGAATTATATAGTACTATATTCTAAATGATATTTAAACACTGACTATAGTTTACGCGAGTAGTACACATTTAAATAAAACACTTTAACGATTTAAAACGTGATATATTAGTCAAACGGGGAGACAACGGCTGTTGCAAAGCATCCGAAACGTCAGGCCGAAGTTAAAAAACTAATTTCATATATATATAAGCTAATATGTCGCGTTTTAAACCGTTAAAGTTTTTTATTTCAAATATATTTTTTAAATCGACGGACTCGGTGTTATGGTAGCAAGTACGGCTAATAATCAACGGATCGTGGATTCGATCTCAACCTGGTCCAACATTTTAATCATGTTTCGTTTTCAGTCTGCGGATTTCCGAACATCCAAAGCCAAAATAGGTCGACAGTGCATCTTGCTTATATGCTATAGGCCCATACCCCATGCTTGTCTGTCTTCTATGATAAAAATCATTTTTATTTATTATTTTATTATTACACGAACTCCTTAATATTTTAATACTGCAGGATTTTCCTCCTTTAAATCTACTACTTTAACCAATAAACCACCTAGTATACGCAAGCAAATTCTAAAAAGTTGTAAAAACTACGTAAATATGATAGAAATGTATTAATACTTAAAAGAGCCTCCCCCCCCCCCCCAAACTCACACAACGGGCTACCTGATACCATGTTATTATTATATAAAAAATATTCAATATTCTTCACACACCATCATTTTGTCTATGTCCAAGTTGCCCGTCTTCTTGGTAGTGGGCGGTGGACTCAGAATCATTCCTTGAGCAAATATTATAAGAAGCGAACCTATCGTAATGGAAATATTTGCTCATTATTAAGTGAAGAATTTCATTCTAGGTGTAGACGCAAAACAAAAAACATCTCGGAAGTGTCACTTAAAATCGGTCTTGGAACCAACAACAAGCAAAAGCATCCTTTTTAAGGTAAGATTTTATTAAATTATTATTAGGGACATAATTGAAAAAAAATATATATATCGGGAATATTTGAATGAAAAATGCATACCGTATAAAAATCAAATTTTTATTGCTTTGAAAATAAAAAGATTTCTTTATTTAACTGTTGCATTATTTGAAACTATCGCTGCTTTTGCGTGCTTTTTGGTGAAAGAGAAGGAGTTCGATTAATTTTAAATTTGGACTTAAAGAATATTGTTCGAAATTTAAATTATTGCGTAATGTGCATAAATAAATATAACCTACCTACACTATTCGTAGTAGTAACGAAAACCGAACAGTAGTTGTTTTAAAAGGTTTATAGAACACTTATGAAGTTAAAAAACTTTGAGGAATTAAATGTCATTACGATAGATCAAGGTTCGAAAAAAATAATGATTAAATAACATTAACGAAAAATAATGAGCTTTTTATGTACAAAAATTAAAAACCGTGGGTGATGTCATTCATACAAGACAGTAGTCAGTGTAGCTTATTTTTCTAAATAAACAGGTTAAGTCGGCTACCCTCAAGCGCTCCCATAAATCCCAAGATGGGATGCGCCCAATCGAGGATAGCCACGAGTACCACGAAATCTCCGATACGGAGACTGTAAGTATCTCGTCCCGCCGTTATAGGCTAATTCATATTAAGGTGGTTAATTCCAACGTTGCCTTGTTAACTTAACCGATCAATAATGACCTTGATTAAAATTAACCCTATGTTTAAGTCGTCGAAAATGGACAGTGCTTGCCATAAGTATTTTAATCAATGTTATTTCTTGGTTTGACTATTAAAAATACTAACTACATCTGGCTTGGTGATTAAATAAAGAATCTGCCCGTAACTCTTGAGTATGCTGAGAAATGTATCTTATAACTTCGTGTCGTATTTTTTGCGTACGAAGCAAGGTTGCGTATAGACGTTTAATTGTCGCCTATTAAGAAAAATATTCGTGCGTTTGCCTCTGCGATTGTATTGGCAAAGCGATCGACATAATAAAGGTTTTCGGCGAATTCTTCATTTATTTCATTACCCACATTACGGTAAATGGTTTCATCTACTAACTATTAACGGCCTTATAACCCTTTCTACGCGTGACTATCGCTCGTGACAATTGTCAAGTAAACTCATAAAGTGTCAATAGTGATGTTCGATTTTCAAAACCAGGTAACAGTTAAAATACATTGTCTTACCCTTTCGTTATTTTTTTATTATTTAAACGACCCTGCAAAATTTTATGTTTACTTGATTTTAGTTGCAACGATGTTTATAATGCTTTTTTTATTTTATTTAGCGCTTGTAGCTCAATCCCTTTTTGTATACGTTAACAGGAAAGCACAGCTACGGATCACATTAAAACGGATATCATGACAACGAATGCTGAACATTCGGTAAATACAAACTTTTATTACTTTGGTGTTACTGGAATGTTATCTTTTTTTGCCTAATTATTTTCGACCCACATTGTGCAATGCGCAATAGATTAAGTGTATAAAAATCCAATTTCGAAATTCAAATAATATAAATTAACATTTATACTATCAGACAATGGTAATCCTCTTAAAATTAAGCTTGAACTTTCACTGAGTTAAAGCAGTCAATTCAATTAAGTAATGAAAGTTAGATCTCTCACTTCGTTGACCTTCCCGTACTTGACTGCGTAATCCGTTGCAAGTTTATACTCAACTAATAGTGGACTTTAAACTTGAACTTATCCCAGATTAAAGTTTCCCTTATCTGAATGTTGAATTATAATCTGGGATATTTGACTTGCAGAAGGCATACGCTGACTTTAGTAAGAGTCTGCTGGATGAAATGGAATCGATGTTTAAAAATTTTGATGATAGGCGTCGCGACCATGTAAGTACTCTAAACATACAAAGTTTTGAAATTAATGTCCTCTTTGTGTCACTAAACTTGGAAACATTTAATTCAAATGCTTTCAGAACTCCGACGATGATATATTTTCGTATGGCCCAAGATCCATTAATTATATATAGTTATTATTGTTGTTGATTTATAAAATATTAATATTTTCCTTCGATGTTTTCGTTAATCTTCATTTATTCTGCTAAGCCTTTGTGAGTGGAAAACAACGATGTTTTTTTTTCTTGTTGAAAATTAATTGGCTCGTGTAACTTATTTTTAGCTGATTTCGCTATAATGTTCTTAGAAGGATTTAGTAAGCAATTAAATTTTTAGCTTAGCAACGTAGATTCTTTCATATTTATTATAGATTAATTAGAATACTGTAGGTAAATTTAAAACGGCATTCTGTACAAACATTTTCCAGATCCGACACCAATCTGAAATCAATGCTGTCTTAAGGTATGATTTTTTTTACTTATTTGTTTTATTCGTTCGTTTTGTACCCTAAACTGATTCACGGCATTTTATAACAGAGCACATACATTACAAAAACCAGAGAGGAAGAAACACTTTCATACTGGTACCATGAAACCGATGTCAGCTCATGATGAGAAAACTTTGGAAATTGCTGTAGCAATGGCAAACGAAATTACTACTAAGTAAGAGTTCAGTGCTTCTTAACAGTGGCGGATATAAGAGGGTGAAGGCATATTTTAAAATAGTCATTGAAAGATGAAATTACTATGTAACTCACAGTTGAAATGCATACTTATTTTTTTATTTATTTTGTACTTAACCTATTATTGCCTAACCTAAAAAAAATAAATCTGCTTAGATATTTGAAATTGTTAACGAAAGAAAACGTCATGCTAACAAATAACTTAAAATAAACATTACAGATCAATGAATAATTTGGACGACAATAAAACCCCTTTGTCGCCGAGCGAAAAGTCTAAGTTCCATTTCAAATTTCCTCTCGTGTCATTACATCACAATAATCATCATGACGCTGATAAGGAAGCACCAGGTACAGTTAGCAACAACATTAATATTTTTAAATAAAATAACGATTCATATAAATGTATGGACGAACGTAATAAGTTTTATTATAGTGATTACTTATCCGTGTCTATAGACTAAAAAAAAATAAAGAACTTTATAATAAGAACCGAAAAAAATATTTTAAATAAAATAATTTATCATTACAATACTATTGAATAACTAAATACTGATTCTTAAATACTTAGTTCATGTAATATACGTAAAGTAGCTTCAAAGAGTTCGTTAGATTATGGCTGTTAAATAAAAAATATTTTTGATGGAATGAAAAAATTACATGGCTAGAATGTGAACCAAGAAGGGTTCCCTTCTTTTGCTCCACTATTTAAGGTTCCATTTGAGATACTTAAATTGTCTCAAATCTCTATCTTTTGACACTCAATCAGTTGCTCATTGATAGAACGTTAGCTAGGGTTATTGTGGTCCTGGGTTCGTAATCGCCAATATTCAAAAATGTCTTTTCCATTACCCGTAAATTTTAAAATGTCGATTCTTAAAATTCAATTGACTTTTCTTTCAGACAGATTTCACGTTCGATACAGACCGAATTGCAGGTTATTATTTTATTTTGTTAGCGTCTGTGCTAATTGAGTTTTTTATTTCACTTATTTATTTAGATTTACCGACACGCAATAGATTTAAGTATAATCTATAACAAGAAGTTGCAACATTACAAACTAGTGTCCTTATACGTTACACCCGCAATTTCTGTCCACTAAGGTTTTCGAAAACATTTTTTTAGTGTTAATTAAATTACATTCCAAGACAAACCTTTTTAGGGACAAAAATGTCCCCCTCTCGTACGTTATTTAACATGTTTCAACACAGAGAACAACAGATTCGAAGCAGAGCGACTCACAGAAACCCTATCCGTGATGCTACGTTTGTTTTAGTTATAATGCTATGCGTTTTAATTCCGTTTGATATTAAATGTTTTATCCTTACTCGCTGGCTTTACATTTCGTAACAAAGTACATACAGCTGAAACGATAGGTCCTACCTAAGATTAAATTTAGAGCGAATTGTAGAGACCAGCACTGTATGTTGATTGCTTTTGCATTTCTGTTCCTTTTCCTGTTCGCAAGCAACTGTCTAGTTTCGATGTGTTCCTATAACTCGCAACTTCTTGAATTACAGGAAAACGCAATTTCAGCGAGGAGGCGAAAAGCGTACCCGACATTCAGGTACGGACTTTAAAAGAGACATTTTTTTTTAATTATGCAAGGTAATTAAATCATTCGGTTTTCTTAATAGGCAACTATAACAGAGGAATCGAAAATGGTATACGCGAGCCTCATTGAAGAGCCCACCCCGACAATATCTATTATCAAAATGCCACATGAAATGACGTGTTCCTCGACGATTCCAAAGGAATCGCGAAGCCACTCAGCACGAAAGAATTTTAACTCACTTCAAAAACCGCCTACGTAAGTAACCCACGTTACAGTTGGTACTTATTCAATGGCCAGCGATAATTCTAAATTTATATTCTTAGTTCGTTTTACAGGCGGCAAGAAGCACAAGCGTTTGAGGTTCCATAAGTATTTTATTATCTACATTATATTGGTTATTGTATATGAAATAAATAAAGAGGTGTATCCATGCGGTGTATCATTTGTTTTACTGCAAGAACCATTGTTACAGCCTTGGGGGGAGGTAGGCGCATATGGATTCGGAAATAATTCGAACGCTTCGTGTTTCAGGTCGGTCATTGTTAATGAGAATGCTGTTGCTGAACTAAATAACGAAACCCTTGTTGCTGACGTCACTAGTGTTGCTGCTAACCCTGTAGCTGGAACTATTGCGGGGCCAACTGCGAGTCCTATTTCTGAATCTAGAACTACTCCAGCTTCGGTAGCATCTGCTAGTCCCAGTGCTGAAGCTCCTGCTAGTCCTGTCGCAGGACCCTCAGCCAGCCCTATGCCTGGACCGTCTGCAAGTCCCGTTGCCGGACCCTCTTCTGGCCCAACAAATAATGCCAGTTCCATTGAAGCATCTGCTAGTGAAGCAGTAAACAACGAAGTAAGTAATAAAAATCTAAAATTTGATTCTAATTTTTTAGATAAACGATCTATATTTAATAAAGAATTTTATTTAGCTCCCTGGTTTGCACTTTTCTCATTTGATAAAATACAATATCATTATTATATTTTTAAACAGGCACACTTTCATGGCCGAAAAAAAAAGAACGGGGAGGTCTTTCAAAAAAGCTTTGATATCCTCCTAAGACGTGCAAAAAAGTATAAGAAATGAGTAATTGTTGTGTTGATACACAATAAAACAACATTTTTAATTTCTATTTCCAGCAGAACGAAGTACCGCTCCCACCGCGAGCAACAAAACCAAAGTTGGTCGATAAACCGCGTCACGTACGCAAATATCCGCTCCGGCTGCCGGTGTGCTGCACGCCCGCATCACCGGAGCACAGCATAAATATTCCGCCGCCGCCGCCACCACCACCGCTGATCTACCAGAACATTCCAGCGGTTGTGCAGAACGCGTACACAGACGTGGCTCTACCGGCCCGCCGCGGTATATCGGACGCTGGAACGAATCCGTTCTATCCATCGCACCCGTCATACTCAGGTGTGATTGAAAACCTGGACTTGAGAAACAACCCCTTCAATTGCTACATCAGCAATTATGACGCCCAAAACGATGAAGGCGAAGACCGCATCTTCGAGGAGGTCTACCTTAGAGGTGAGGAAGGTTGTCGTCTAAGTACAACGATTCTATACTTGAAGACCTTCGGCGTTATGTTTTGTCTCTGTCATGTAAGTCGCATTTGGAATTTGAATGAAAGAGACGAAACATAGAGTTGGACATCTCGTTTATTATTATGTACTTAATATCTCAACTGAAATTTAGGACCTCTGGCGCCTGTACTGTGCAACTTAAGAGACACTTTTTAGTCTACACTGGGCACCCAAAGGGATAAAGTGATGAGCATTTTACGTAAAGAGTAATAAAAGTGGAACCCCGTTTTCATATATTTTACATTTATCAGTAAACAGGATATGATCGACTTTCTTTGTTCTTGAGGATTTTTTCTAATGGATTCAAGCCAAAGATTTGTTATGGAACAGTTAACCAGATTTTTCCCCACTACAGTAAGGTACAGACGTCAGAGTCAATGGAAAATGACGCCACGTTACAAATAGTAAAACATTAAAAACACAAACTTGATTGCAGAGCAATGATTATTGTATATTTAAAATACTAAGCACGCTTAAAGTAACATGCAAATAACAATTAACATTTATAAAAATAGAGCTGATGAGAGCTATATTTGGACTGATTTTATACTAAATATTTGGAAGATTGTTTAAGAAAACGTGCCGGATTCGAACCTTCCTCCAACTTTGACATAAATTGCATAAAGCTTTCACAATCATTTTGCAAAGCTACTTGGGTTTTCACGCAGTGATAATCGGAATTGAGAATTCGCTCAGCGTAAGTAAAGACTTGCTAAGAAAGTCGAAAAACCTTATGCTCTCATCCACCTGTGATGACGTAAAATCGACAAGCATTTCTGAATTACGACGATCGAACAGTTATAAAACCCAAGAAGTTAAACTTCCATATTGTTTTTGTTTGCCGACTTATTACTTACATTAAAATAACGATAAATTTGCACAAATAACCTCATTAACAACAAAGAAACGAAGTTATGTTTATAGTTATTGATACAAATTTTAGATTACGTCTCAGTCGAAGATTTACTACAATTCGCAGATCGTAAACCGTCGTCAAGACAACGTGGTGTGGAGTCCGATGAGGTCCGCATCATCAACAAAGTTATCAATGGAAAGGTACGAGATCAAAGTGTCCAGACGGACGAATAGATTACCATTAGTCGGTACGGGTTCGGGGTATAGCTCTCGTTGTTACCTATTACCCAACCAGATGAATGGTTTCCTTAGAGAAACCGAGACTGCACGTTTTGCTTGCTATGTAAATAACATCGCGGTTTCCACTTACGTATCCAATGTATATATTCTTAAAATCCAACTTTCGAAAACGTGTAGTCCACGAAAACCTACTCTGATCATTATTTTACAGGTGTCTCTTATGAGCATAAAGGGTTCGGATGAATTGTAAACTAAAATAGCTCTCTATAGTTTATACGAGTAGTACACATTTAAATAATATAGCTCTGTCAAATGAAAGTAGATGGCGGTGTTATAAAAACAGTATTTTTTTAAATTACATCTATAAACTTTACCACCGTCGCTCAAATTTGGTATTCCTTTATCATCGGGATCTTTTTTTAAAGGAAACACTGAAGATATTTTTGTGTCCGTTTCACTTATCGATTTTATTTACAGGCATTTGATTCATGTGCCCTCCCCGACCAACACAACACAACACAACGTTCTTTGTTTTATCAGAATTCGAATTCTCAGGGCCTTTCTTGTTTAAATTGAGAAACTTTGACAACAGTATTTCCCCATTAGGAATTAAAATAAAAACCCATCATCCACTTTCATTTGAAAGCAACTTAACCGTAGAGTGTATATAGACAAACAATAGTTTAAATGTTTAGAAACGTATTCGGTGTACTGTAGAAAATAATGATGTTTGGTGTAATAGTTTTAGAAATATTATCAATAGTCCTTAGAATAGTAAGAGCTTAGTGCTTAACCCACGGAACCTTACGAATTTCTTCAAATTTGCATCCAAATGTACTTGAGCTTTATGTATTAAAAATGTTTTAGAAACACAATGCTATGTACTAGTATCTAAATCTTTGAACAAGATTTATTTATACCAATTTTTGTATATTTAATTAAGTTATATAACTATGTCATAATTATTTCTTGTACAAAACATATCAATCTATAACAAGCTATATCATTTTGTATCCTAAATTATTCGTACTTGTTACTTTTTTTAATTTGTAAGTACTTATCTAGATAGATCGTCTAGAATTACTTAATTTACAACTCTCCTGATGATGGGGACTAATGATTATTGAACTATATTTTTATTCTTAGTGTAGTCTAAAGTACTATGTACTAAAAGTCCACATCTTAAACTTCCAGTCCCGGAAAACATTGTATTTTGATCTAAGATTTATACTTTTGTAATCGATCCGCCCTATAGTTTGTTTATATCCTCTGAATTGATAATAATTAGTATATATAGTATAGTAGTATAGAAAAATATAATACTTAGTTGTACTAGATACATATCTATGTGGATGTTTTATCTTAGTAATTTCTTAGTCAATTTTATCTGCATAATCAGTACGAGATTGTGATTCGTGATTGAGACTCTTAAAAGCATAGGAGGGAAAGAAAGTGCTTTGTATAATGACTACAGTGAAGTTAGGAACTATTTTGGAATAGATAAAGGTGTTTTAAAGTAAGTCACAGTAAAGAAACTCGAGAAGGCATGATCTATTGAGGATTTAATAAAGAGTGAAGTTAGAAGTTTTTTGAAGACACGAACAATTGTGGGAAAGTGTGCTTTAAAAGTAGTCACAGTGAAGTCAGTAACTTAAGAAGATATGTGGAAAGATAATGTGATTTAAAGATTGTATTTAGTGAAGTTAGAAATATGTATATGAAGTCACGAACTACTGTGGTGAAGAACAAGGTGTTTTAAATATTGAAGTTATGAACATGGATATGTTGTATAATAGACTAAAGAATTAAAATACGATGTTTATAAACTAAACGTAAAACAAACGAAGACTATTAAGACAATGAAACAAAAAGTGAAAAGACAGTCAAGAAACTGAATTTTATTACGAATAATGACCTAGATGAATGTGTTAAACGTTAAATGTCTGAGCTGTTAAATGTTATAAGTGTATCTATTATGTAGTTAGAAAGTATATCAGCATGATAGTAAGTTTATGTGAAATCTACAAACGAAAAGTTTTGTATATTGTATCTAAGAACTGAACTGTTAATATATATCTTCAGTGACTGTTTGTTATATTAAGAGTTTATATCAATCTGCGTTATAGTTTACATGTATTGTTTAGTCTTCGTAGGAAGGTATGGCAAAAAATATAACTGTAAATATGTTTGTCTACCCTGAGGTGTTCAGTTGTTTTGTTTTAAGTTTTGAATATAGTATATTCTTTTGGATTTTGTAAATTGAAAGTACCACGCGGGTGATATTAGGACTCGGATGTTACTGAGCCGTTGATACGATTTCAACAAAAAAAGGACTAAGACTGACCACTGTTTCTTCTACACTTTGGTAAAATACTTTCAGACTTTTGGAGAATTTTAGAATCAAAGAGAAAAGATTTATATCAAATTTTTATTATCAACATTTATAATTTTTGCTCTTTACTCCATTTATTTTGTAGACTGTATAAACATGTACAAAACAAACCAGACCTCAATTTATAACTATATCTTAGTTAGTACGTTATGCTATTAGACTTTTATAGAACTATTTTCCTATACACTATCAATTGTATAACTTAAGTTTTTCTATTATTCTATGTTAATTTACAAAAGCGCCCTCTATGGTATTGGTCTTGAAATTTTCAAAGTTATTAGGAAAGAGTTGAAGAAAAGTGATATAATGATAATATGTTGGTTTCCTTGGTTGTGTATATAAAAGTGATATCATAATTTCAATGTATGCAATTTTATCTACTTATATCGATGTTAGATCATACATGTTAGTTACGGACTTGTTGTGTTATAAATGAAGTTTATAGTAAAAATTGCTGTTGTATGTCATATCTTTAAATAAATGTTTACCTGATATTTTATTGATTGAAATGAATACTCTGGATCAATTACAACGGTCAACTATCGTCTTCAGAAAAGGTATTTTTCATAATTAATTGATGTGTATAAACGCAAGAAACCATCAAAGTAATTATTTAGAGTAAAGATCACTTACTGCTTTTATTGAATGGTTTTATGGTTTCTGGCTTATGGTTGTTCGTTGTTTATACTTATCAATGCTTATTGTATGAATTTATTTTTAATGATGCTTCCTGGACAACACTTGACTATTGTCAATGTTGTATTAAGTATATGTTTTTTGTATTCTTTTTGTAGATTAGATACATTTTGATTTCGGTATTATTATTAAGTTATTGTATGACTTTATTATTAGTTTAACCTTCTCTAAGTACAGTAGAGGAGTCCACTTTTAAATGAAACACTTATCGGTTAGAAACGCAAAATATACTTATTTTTAAAGTACGTCCCGAAATTCCGGACACTTTAGGTGATCGTAAATAACAAGGTAATTAATACATTTTGCATTTTAAACCGTTATAACTGATTTATTTATGTGACCAATACTAGATACAACCATTAAGACCTACTTTTTTTGCTAAGTTACATTTCTTTATTATAAAATATGTACTGAACTGTAATTTTTAGTTTTAAACTAATGAGGTTACGATTTGGCTCTGTTTTGTTAATGGATCGACGCTATTTTTACTGATTTGATATGCTTCACTTTTTTCTTTCGTTTCGTCTTCTTTTAAAGATGTTTTTGTTCGTTTTACGTTTAGTTACGATCACTTTTTGCTTTGCGTGAATTTGATTTATTGTTACAACATTATTAATTCCCTTTTCCCCAACAGGTCTCACCTGAAGAATGCCTAGAAGCGTTAGAATTCACTGACTGGAATGTACACATAGCCATAAAGCTACTTAAAATGAAGATAACTGTAGCGGATTCCACGGAAACAAAATTTGAAGACTTTCAAAGGGAACTAGAGAAAGCGGAGGGTGATGTCGCAAAAGCTGCGATAGCGATTATTAACTTAAATAAAAAAGACGATGATGTATAAATACGTGTTTTATTAACTTCCTTATCTGGGAAAGACGTAATTGATACTTGAAGCCCATTCGGGTTTATTTTTAAAACCTTTGCATTAAGTATCTTTACTAGCAAATTATCCAAATAAATACGGTTTTTTGACAAAGGACGTTGAATTTCTTAATAAATACTTACCTTATGAAATCTAAGATGTGCCATTTAAAGGATTTTGTCTTATAAGTATTAGTCGTAGTTAATAGGGTCTATTTAGGATGTTTAATACAAATATTTTATTAAAGTAGTTTTTATTACACGCTAACAAAAGTATGTACCAATCTCCGAATAGATGCTTCACAGTTCGTGGCAAATACGAGGCATTACTTTCCCTTTAACATTTGTTGGCAATGTCGAAAGATCGCTACAATCATTTATCACCCATTATGGGCCCCACATTCACTTCTATATTGTGGTCGCAACGAGAACTGTGCCTCGTAATTGCCAATTCGAAAATATCTAAGCCGTACCTTGATTGATACGGTGTTTTTGTGTTTTTATATCGCTTCATGCTAAGGGCTGTTCGCTTGCTAAAAAATAGGTTAATTTTCCACTCGATGGCGTAAAGGATATATAATTTTCCTTCCGACCTTAGAGCCCTTTTTACAAGCAGAGTAATAAAAAAATATAGTAAGTTTAGGATACAGTAGGACATTGATTTTCTAAATGTGGCGTTAAACATAATTTACACATTCTATTATTATTTATAAATTCTATTTTAAAATAAAACACAAAACTATTAAATTTCGTCATTCAAATTTCAACGTATCATTAAATAAACCTTTATAATAGTGGGGTAGTTACATACTTTTCATTTAAATAAAGAACATAATTCGAAAAGATAAAATGGCCGGCATGGATTCGTCGCATGTAGACTATGCAGTAGTCGGCGGCGCATGCGCGACATATTCGGCCTAGTTCTCGGACGGGGCCGGCTTCTATGTGTGCGTGGCTCGTTAAAACGCCAGGTCTGTTCGGTTGTGTGCGGTTGGCACGTAGGACGTGGACGCGCCTCTCGACCTACATACAGCTAAACCCCGTTTATATCGACGTCCTAGCTGAACATCGTTTCGAGATAAATGTATAAACCTGGATGCTCACATGGTTAATGGACCGTACCTTTTAATTTCACCCAGAACACAGATTCAATATAGCAATTTAATTAGACCTGCATCAGCCAGAGGCGTTTTTAACTTTGCCGCAAAATTAAAATAATTCTGAACGGAATTTTATACCTACATGACGTAAGGAGATTATATCATTTCGTTATATTATATATATTTGGCGATAGACGAAAGAGGATCGAGCGATTCTCAATATTAAAACCTTATAAGCTCATTGCCGGTCCTTACGTAAATTACCTAATTATTTTTACAAGTAATTTGTATCGAAAATTCTTATCGGATTGATGTATCGATTTTGATCTTACCTGTATTTTATCAGAATGCCCACATACTGGCTCTTTGTACCATATCTTTTAGATGTTTTCACAAACATTTGTAAAATAAATCCGTCTAACTGCGTACGGTCTATGTTCTATTTCAATGATCGATTTAATTTACAAGCAAGTTTCTCGGAGTCTTGCCCCTAGCGGCTAAAACTATTTATTTTTCTAAGATTCGAAATCAGAACGTGTCGCGGTTAATGCAATATAAGGCAACCTATATTATTTAACTATTTAGCCAAAACGGGGTTAAAGAAGAACGGAATACCTGAAAACCAGTATGAAGTACCATTCAACCAATTAATATTCCACAAAGAAAAGAGTATTTAAGCTCTTATACCATCACCACGCTCCTCCACTACACCATGATGATGACGATTTCGAAGCCTTCCTGATTCGTAATAGAAAAACTCTAAACATTACATCGACCACCAATATGTTTAGTATGTTTACTTAATAGTATTAAAAAGTCTCCATTATTAAAGACGATAATCCAAAAACATCTATAATTATACTGCAAAACAAAATGGTTCATTGTTTTTCGCATTGATATTCTTTGTCTACAAATTCCCGGCGAATTAGGTCACATTCTCTCCGGGAGAACGCTATTGGTTTGTATTCGCGTCTACCGCGCTTTATTTTCAGATCTAAACATGAAACCCCGTGGGGTATGGGGCCAAGACATTTCTGTGTCCGTTTCACGAATAGTTCCTTTACAAGGGAGTAGTTGGTTGGACTTCTGTGCCGCGCTCGACCGAAATAATTTCTTGTTTCCTAAAAAAAAAACAAAAATAATACACTTTAACGGTTTAACCGCGATGTATATTAGTTAAACTTATTTGAAAATTATTTAGCTGCCCGACGTTTCGGATGCTTTGCAGCAGCCGTGGTCACGGGGAGGCATGAAATTAATTGTTTCCCTGGCATTCAAAGCTTTAACGCAATTCTGTTTAACAAAAAATACTGTTGGATAGCCTAAGGAACGATAGTTGAATAGTATTTATTTATTTATTTATTTATATAAATATCTTATAAAAATATTACGACACGGACAGGACTTGAACCTGCAAAGAGTGCTCTATCCGTGCTCTAACCAATTGAGCCGGGTCAAACTAAAATAAATTTTTAATCTACACATTGCCATCATCATCATCAACACGTGAAAAATATTAAAGTTTCCAAATGTACTGTTAATTAGAACAATGGCGCTGTCTCGGCGGTACAGTGGTGAGGAATTTTGGTTTCAGTCGGGCTTAAAACCAATCAAGGTTTGTAATAAAAACAACAGATTAACAGATAAATGTCCCATACAAGGGCATTGGGTCTCACTACGTAATACAATACTAAGTACCTAGAGAACTTCTCCAGCGTAAATCGATAAACATAATTGTCAGTAGCAAATCAAAACTCAAATCGCTAAGGAAAATTTTCACTTCAATTAAAGCAATTATCATGTTTCCCAGTATTTAAATGCCTTTGTCAAGAACTTTTGTTACAAATTGTAGAGAGACTTTTTCAAGAATTACTGGAATAAAATCCTGATCAATTGAATCGAGTTAACTCTGAAACCTGTATAACCGGTAATTCAACTTATTTCTTTCTGAATTATGTATTGTGCGGGAACTGTAAGGGTCATCGGCGTTATAGGTCTTATATCGTGAACAGATCTCTTGCCTATAAATTATGATACATCCTAGACTACTATTTATATTCGACATGTAGTTATAACAACAAACAATTCCTACTACCTACTAAGTATGCAGCTCCTCTTGTCCGGAATATTAGATTTAAAAATCAATAATTAAATTGAAAAAAAATTTCGACTCGAGCAGGACTTGAACCGGCATCGTCAGCGTTCCTTGATGTTGCTCAAAAAATAATCAATTTATTTTCGATTTTTAAATTAGATAGTGCCTTCATGTGCAAAATAATAAAGTTTTCAAATACTTACTAGATTTTCCAAAGCGTTGTCAAGCATTGCGTTTGACGAGAGATATCGGGTTCGAATGCCGAGGAAATATTATTTGATCGTTATATGTACATATATATATATATATATATATTATATATATAATAATATATATTATAAAGTTAATTCAAAACAGTCAATTTAAAAAATGAGTAACGCAAAATTTTATTAAAAATGGTCAAGTCGTTTGGGAGGAGTTTGAGGGAACATCTGTGGTGATTGAAAATAAATAAAGTAAATCACCTACTTTCGGTGCAGAATACTGACAACTGTCAACAAGCCTAAGTTCCAAATTGTAGGTATTTACAAGTTCATACAAAATCGACGTTTTGATCAGTGGATCGATTTTTTTTATAGGCAGAGTTCTGTTGCGGACCTATACTATTCCGCACTTTAGCTAACTTAAGCCATAGAGATGGCGTTCCTACCATGTAACATGATAGTAAAGTCCGAAATAACAAAAAGCCGTTGTTAAGATCGGGATTGTCGAATATTTCATGTAAGTACGTTGGGGGTGTGCAGTGGGCTTATAGAGGCCAAGTGGGGGCCACCTAGTTTCACGAACCGACCCCACCCCCGGGGGGAACGCAAGGCCCCATGACCCATTTATTTCCTGCTTTACGCAAACCCTGAGCCCGTCCTTGGCGTGTTTGTTCAATATTTAACCGCTTCTTGCTTTTTTCTTTATTTTCTGAGAAAGAGAAAATACTCTAATGATATTAACTCTTCGTCGCTTGAGTAGAATTCATATACAATTGTTTCTGATTTCAATATTGCGAGAAAATCTCGGTTTTGTTCTTCTATTTAATATGTTTTTCTAAGTTTCATATCTTTAGTATTTTTTCTCTCTACTTTTTTAAGTCTGATTGACGGAAGTTGGGTTCGTTTCTGTAACTAGGATATTCAAATAGGCTCCAATGAATACTAGGTAACTATAGAAACGACATAATTAAGAGATAAATATTTTTTAACACTTGTGTAGATCCATCTTACGTCGTCAACTGCGTTGAGACTTTTAAAAATGTTGTTTCCCAGCCGGAAGTATAAGATAAATTGCCTCGGTAGAACGCTAATCGAAAGAAATAAAAAATCGACCAATGACAAGGACAGACATATATTCATCCCATACCCCACTAGGGGCAAACGTTTTCACTTTTACCATAGATTTATTACACGAGAATAACCTCGATCGATATCAAACGTGGACACTTTCTTAATCGCTACTTTACGTTACGTGGCGTTACTAATTTCAATATTTATCGCTTTCACTTTTTTATTCCACAATATATATAATAGAATATTTTACCTACCTACATTAGGTAAATCTAAAAAACAACTGACGATCTAAAAGAATTGTCGGTTACAATTTTTTAAATTATATAAAAGGACTTATCTATAAAAAATTGGGGACAAGAGAAAGTGCTAAAGGCTACACGCGGTAAAAATTGGAATGTTACAATAGCAGAAACTTTCGCTTTTCATTTATCATTAGGATTCGAATCGAGACATTATTTTACATGTCTTTTGTAAATAAAATCGGCCACGAAGGGTTCCGTACCATTGACTAAGTACATTTCAGATTGTAACCTGTTTGTAAGTATTTCGACCTACTAGCACTTATTTATATAACAAAAATCACTTCTACTGTATCATCATTCAATGTGTGTTTTATTTTAGTTTAATTTATTTGTAATTTTAATTTTGTACTTTCAGATACAATATGATGACAGACAGACAAGACATTCGCATACACAGACTAACACCGCAACCCGAATTATACTTCTCCGTTCTCGTAACCACGCCTGGTTGGGCGATAGAAGGTGGATTGTTCTGGATGGGATTTCCAGATCAAACCACCGATATTCCTACTATCGATTAAATGCTTTGATTGTACAGATCCGTTTAGTTAATAATTTTAACAAACTTAACCAAACAGTAAACTGCTTCAAACAGTGAATTAAAAAGCAAAGAGATAAATCTACCTCACAATGTATATTTAATAATTTCGAAATCATTGAGAGATAAGTTTTACAAACTTTCTAGCATTTAACATTAAATTCACTGCAACAAAAAAATACAATCAAAATCACTTCAAACAAACATAAAATTCATGTATGTATATACTATTCGAATTGAGAACCTACCTTTTAAAGTCGGTAAAAAAATCGGAAAATGATCACTTTGGAATCGAACCTCCAGCATGCCTATAGATTATTTCACACGCTGTTACCATTGAGCAATGGAGCTCGTCAAAGACATTTATTTAAAGGTTTACCAACATTTATTACATTACACACGATTTATACTAATTAAATGTAATAAACAATTGTAGAGAAACATAATATGCTTAAATATTAAAATTACTAAAGCTAAGTCTCAAGACTAAGTTTAAAATTCATGATTAAAAGCAGCACGAATCATAATTACTAAAATTAACTTGTTCCATATTTGTTTTTAACCGTTTTTTTTTTAAATATCAATCTTGTGACTGTCTGTAGTCGTGACATATTTTATAGACTCTGGACATTGGAGAATGCGATCCATATACCGCTTGTCGGCGTGGCACAATACACATACACTAATGTATACCATAAGTGTTTCTTGATTATGCTAAAATGTTTCAAGTGACAAGAAAATTAATTCTAGAACCGTATAATGTTCATTGGACCGCGAGAAATGGAGTTCCCAAACCAGTGACTTGAATATTATTCGAAGCTGTTTATAATCAAATCCGAGAATAGATTGAAAATGATGAATTATTCGTTAGACAATACGATTTTTCTGGTAGTATCCAAAATATTCTATATTGTGTAGCTATTGACTGCATTTTGAAAACAAACATACCTACACTCTACCAAAATTCTCTTATTTGATTTTACTTAAGAAACAATATTTCAACTATTTAAGATTTTTAGTAATTAAATTAAACGTAAGGCACGTAGAATAAAACGAAATAATAAATTTAATTACCTAACCCCGGCCCGCACAAATTCGTTGTTGAGTTTTTTTACAATTTATTTATACAAATTATAAATATAGACAGGTATTAATTCGTTACGTTCGTCAAAAAATTATACTCTGAGACGTGATTTCGAAAACAAAAACTATTGTCCAGTTCGTTGCATAAAATAATTAACCACCGAAATAACTAAACCTTAGTAACCATAAAATTAATTACAATGCTAATTTTTTTCTATAAAAACACCTACCTTTTAAAATAGCTGTAAGGAGTATAAGTATATAAAATATTTAAATAAAGCACTTTAACGTTTTAAAATGCGATAAATATATTTCAAGAATTCGGAAACTCTATATATAAATACAACACGAAAGGATCTCAAACCTTGTGAAATTTATATTCATTCTGGTACTAAGTTAAAAGCGGCGAAAATCGTGCGTTTTAGTATTGAATAGATCGAACACTCGATTTCTCGCTCACTCAGCAAGTTTCAACGAAGTATACTTTAATATGAAATTGGGTTACGCGCTATATAGGGCAGAGGGTAAAACCAAATCGAAGTTTGCAGCCATATGAACGGTGTTGCGCTGGTGTTAAGACCCCTTTCGAGCTGGGATTTCTATGGGTATTACTTGTGTCACTTCGCTCGTGGGCTTGGTTTCGAGAGGGGCAGAGGGGGTAAGAAGTTACAACGCCCATACGTATAATCGTATAGAACACAATGCGGCACGGTTCTGCGTCGACGTGAAGCCACGCGCCAGCGTACTAGCTTCCGCATCTACAATAAAATACTTCGCAACACCGCGTCTTCATTCGTGATGGGCGCCAACCGAACCGCGCAACACTAGGTAAGTGACGCTGTGCGTATTTTCTTTGCGATTTCCTTTGAGCTGGCGTTAATTTTACGGCGCGGGTTATCGCAATGTTATCGAGACTCGTGTTTAAACGTCACCCGTACGCCGTCTAATCGTTTCGAGTTTTTTATCGTGTTATACTCGACGAAGAAAACTCGCAATTAGCATTATACTTTTTTTAATAGTTTGTGGAGAATAATTTGGAATTCATCGCTATTTATACACGAATTTATATTAATAAGCTATTAAAACGAGTATGTTTTACGCCATTTAACAAATACTTAGAAATTGGAATAGTTTTACTTCGCAACTTTATAACACAGATTATCTAAAGGATATATATAATCCGCGTTCCAAGTTCTTGTTTACAGCTACCATATAAATACATAGGAAAACAAAGCATAATAGGTTTTTACGTCGTCAGTCGTTATCCTTAACTCGATTCCAGGAATGGGTTTTTTGTAATCCCTTGTCTGAGCAGGCGGATAGATAAATATATATCCTCAAATGTTAGCTATACAATAAAGGTGGGCGGAGCCTATATAGCATATTTAATCCCTTATTCTTCTAAACAGTTAAAAGTTCTATATACTATTATATGAGGGACTAATATAGAACATACTAATAACCTTATTTGTTTAAATGAGACACCCTTTATTTAAATTAAGATCACAAAAAGATTATTGTTAATAATAGAATAGCACACTATTAATTAATTAATTAATAACTACTAATTATTAAATTAAATATTCGGTGATTAAGATAAACCATTACGTTTTAAACATGGTAATATCGAAATTTAATATTTCTTTTTAACCCTTGTTTAATAAAAAGACTGCACCTATTAGCACCTATAATAAATTACTATATGTATAATAACTTTGCTAATTAATGATTTATGTTATTGAGTCAATAATAATTATTATTGATAGACTTTCAGTCATTATAATAAATAAATAAATAAATGACTGGAATGTGACGTTAATAGTAATCATTTTAACTTAGGTGTTAAATTTTATGAACCAAACGTGAAGGAATTTTAATAAAAACAAGTTTACTATATTATAGAAACCGATACCATATAATAGATAAACATGTAGGTACTATGCCTTTGTACCGAACAAAGGCTGACCTTAGTTATGTTATTGTTCAATCTATTTGTTTTTAATTGGACTACAGCTATAATATACACCGTAAAAACATTAATATATAATACGCCCTAGATAGTTACAAAAGGAAAATATGTTACATGAATTGATAAATTTAATAAATGTATACGTATGATTGTGGTTTAACTACAAATATTAAAAAATACAATAATTATATGGCAATAATACCCAATGTGAGGTTGTAATTTGTTAGTGATATGAATAAAATATGCTTGTAAGTTAAAATATGCCGCTTAATGATTTTGATTAATGACGTTTAATGCTGTATTAACAGAGGTAATTATTACTACTTTTGAGTTAGAAGTTTAACATATTATAATGTCTGTATAAAATAAATGTATTCAAAATTCCTTCTAATTGTGTCGATATCGCTGTATTTTTTTTAATGACTAAGAAATACTTTTATACTGTCTATAGTTTACGCGAGTAGTACTTACACATTTAAATAAAACACTTTAACGGTTTAAAACGCGATATATTAGTTAAACTTATTTGAAAATGATTTTTAACTTCGGCCCGACGTTTCGAATGCTTTGCAGCAGCCGATTTTTCGGTCTTCCCGTGACCGAAAAATCATTTTCAAATAAGTGTAGCGTGTTATGTTTTTTCTAATAGATATTAGTTTTTCTTATATTTTGAATATTTCCTATTTATCTTTTTAATAATATACCCCGATTGGCGGTCTTTGTAATTCAATAGTTTAACGCGTTACGGGCGTAAAATCTAGGTCCCTGGGAAGACCACTTTTCAATCAGACAGACACAGGCACAAATGTATACAGCTCTTTGGGGCATTTTACTTACGATTGTTCTGTAAAAAATATCGCTAGTTCTAATAAGATTATATAGGTCTAAATAAGTCTTCACTAATCGTAATTAAGTTTCTAATCGCAACCAAATAGGGGTCAAATACAAACATACGTATAATAAGTTCTAACGAACATTGCAGATACCAAAGGTCTCCTCGATAAACACGCAAATTACTTACGCGTTCGAATAACCATCTACTAACACGTTTTTCAAATTTTGTAATATGTATTTGCTTTCGGCACACCTAAGCCCAACTTGTAAAGTTCAAACTAACAAATGCCGATTTCATTATGTCTTAACCAGTATACCGTGGTCCCTGGTTGCGTGTTAAATTCTTTTCGCATCCGAAGTCGTCCTAATAAGTTTCGCCATCACGAAAGACCGTTTTAAGTTGGACGCCGAAATTATTTAACTGCGTTTCGGAGACTGCGTAGTGACGGTGCCCTAGTTATTTCGGGTACTGTGCTAGATACAAACGAGGCCACCCGAAGCGTGGTTTTCATCATCAACGGCAAGTTTTCGATGGGGCCGTGTTAGACCGGCCTCGTAACAAGTAGATATACGTACCTAGGTGGAAACAAACCGTTCCGTGTGAACGTGACTCGTTTTATATTCGCTTCGTCAAAAACGGTCCGCCATGTTTTCTAACGGTATTTTGACGAATTTCCAGCGTGAATAAACGTGATGAATATAGTAAACATTCTCTTTGTTTCCATCCGTTTTTATATGTCGCGACTAATTGTGAATATAACGCGGTAATTGCTATATCTCAGTTCTTCAGCGCGAACGAATCGAATTTTGGTTCTAGTACAAGTTTCAAAACGTTGTTTTTCTTGCAATTACTTATATATATTTATATATTTAGAATTATAAACAAAATACTAGACCTTATGCCGTTGTGATTCCACAAGGATTCTTGTGAATGACCAATAGTAGTATAAATTACTTTGTTTAGGCGTCAAGACTTTGACGATTAGTATTTATGATAGTACAATACACAGAGAAGGGGAGGTGCCATTTGGTATAAACTAAGCCAAGGCCGTCATAGTGGGGATAACGTGTACACGTGTGACCCAGATAGAAGCCGAGGGTTCACGACAGTGCCCGACCACTGGCACCAGTTGTCTTTGATCAATAACATTTACACCCGAGTAGATATTTCTAAAGAAAAAGGGCCGTGTAGTTTTTACTGTTTATTTTCTTTATAGTAATTGCTCTCTGGATTTTGTATCATTAATTTGTACAAATAACGAAGGAGATTACGACAGAAAACTAAAATGTTTCGTCTTAACTGTTACTAGCACTAGCAACTAGCCACAGTTGTACAGTTTACCGAACTCTAGGCGAGTCATATAGTTTGTAGGTTGAAAAATGTTTTATAAGAACCAGGTACTGAGGAGGAAATTCATTTTATACATGATACAATGCATTGATCGCTATTACATCACATGCGTCCTCTCTGCGCGCGCATACCTCACCGTCCCCCCTCGGGCAGAAACTCGGTCCCTTCCCCTCTCACATCAGCGGCCACTACGCCATCGCTCCTCACCACGAGCTGCCATTCGCTTCTCGGTCGTCGACAACCGCAGTCGTTTCCTCTTTTCCGTGTCAGTTAGCTGTAGTTGAATTATTTTAACTCCGCTTTTTATCCTTCCTCATACCAGTTACCGTTAAGCCTTCATCGAAGTTAGTTGTGCGCTTGGGAATTATAGTGTTTCGATTTTTAAACTTGTGATACGTTCGCGACCTACTTTCAAAACTTCCGCAATGTAGATTTTCACTTTTACTGTTCGTTCTTTAATTTTTTTTTAAATCGTTCAATTTCGAGTTGAATGCGAGCGTTCACTTTTCTAATCGTATAATTTTCCTCTTGCTTCGTCATGTGACTGGCGCGTTGCGGAACCTCATTGGCGGGAAGTTTTTAGATGAAGAAGGACAATGAAGATGTACGCTGTCAGTTGTGTCGGAGGGAGAATTCGACTAGGCTTTTTCTATCAGTCAGTCTTTTTCTCTCTCCTATATGGTTGGCATAATAAGTCCTCGATGGAGTGCTGAGCTGGTTATCCGGATTCTACAATGCGATGTGTCCGCAGTGACGTTGGAGGTTTCGTTGCCTGTTTAATTCAGTAACGAGATCGCTAAATTTTCTGCATTGGACATAGCAGTTTATTAAGAGATAGATTGCTTAATTTCTTGCTGTCTGAAAATATCTTGTGTCGTAATCATTCGGTTGAGTCATCGCGCCTACATTACGAAATAGCGTCGGCGCGGGCGCTGGCTGCGGCAGGAATTGGGCAATCCGCGAGCGGATGTGCGTGTCCCGCGACCCACTCCGCTGCCTCCAAATACAACTCTTGCGCAGCCAATTTAATTTCAACCGTTTGAGCAACGGCCACTTCCCAACTGTCTTCTGCATTTGACATTTAAATTGAACTCAATGCTTATATGCGATTGGTTTATTGCGAATTGCCTGCTCTGCGAATTTTATGTATCGAAATAAACTTGTTTGTTCTTTTATTATTCCACATTTACAGGTGCAAACACATACTACATATCATTGAAATAGAATAAGTTGAATTAAGGCATGAATAGTAATAAAATTAATGATAGAATAAAGTTTTGGGTGGGTTTGATTCTATACCCGCCCCCGATCGTTTACCCAATAGCAAGTTCTCGGGTCCTATTATCACCCGAATTCCAGTTATTACAACAAAAAACAGCTTAGTCGATCCGTGGAACGCTCGCTATAAAGTCATTGTACTGATTCGGTTTACCGCGACTTTCCTCTTAAACTTTTTTTTACATTTAGAACAATAACGATTCTTTCTAATTAGACAAACGCTTGTATTTTCCAAATAATTATTTCTTAAACTATTATTTTTCTTGTTTTGAATAGTAATAGTGTAATTAAATTTATCAGATCCACCAAAATGAATTAGGTAGATTTGCTAAGCTACCCCAAATTGCTCTCATTCATTTTATTTTGTAGTCTACGATGGTTCTTGTTTTAATAATAATAGTACATCCTCATTATTATATTTTCCCTATGGAACTTATTATGGGAACTAATCGATTTTGGACGCAGAAACGTAAAACAGCAATATGATTATTTAATGTATTCCCATTATAGATCCGTTAAAACTGTTTTATTGATTATTTCTATTTGCGTAAACTAGTAACAATGCATATTAGATTTAAGCATGCTTGTAGTATTTTCTTTATATAACAACGTTAACGCTAATGATGATACTTCCGCGCCAGTAAAATCGAGATATATAAAAAGTTATTTTTAGACTTAATTAGGTAGTTGCGAACCGCGATATAAAGGTACAAACACAATCATATAGAGCTGAGTTTGACAGAGGTAGAACTAGATCGATTGTTTTTAAAACAAAAGGTAAGTAGGTAGGCTAGTGATTAAGAAAAGTATAATGAAACTAAGGGTTACCATTCGTTATCAGTAAAACAATGGAGCAATCTTAGTTTATTGAGAATCGCTAATCCTTGTTAATACCTGTTTACTAGTTTACCTGACAGCCGACCTATTTCTATTACGGAGTAGACCTACTTCCCTTTGAGGAGTAATATTTTAAAAATCGGCTAATAAAGATTATAGTGGTACCAACAGGTAACTGAACGCGTAGATAGATTAGGCGGAATTTTGCCGACAGCCTAAATAACGAAAAGGGCCTGGGCGTGGTACTTTTACTCATAAATACTTTAATAATATGTATATACATATGTTCGTGTAGAAATTTTTAAAGGCAAACAAAGCAATTACTGAATTAGTTGTTTACTAGCATAGTAACTATATATTAAGTAGAATTTTTAATACAACAGAATCATAGTAATTTGAATCCTTTACCAATGCTTTTAAATATGTATGTCAAAATAAAAAACAAAAGTCAGGCAGTATTAGTATAGCGACGTCTATATGAACCCCACATTAGTAGTTTAAAAAAATAAATTTTCTTAGAAATTAAACCCAAACCCCTGGAAAGGTTATAATTGTAAGAACAGCGAGGTTCTACCTACTAGAAGGTAAATTAAGGTTTCAAAATACTATTTCAAGTAGAACTATTTCTCAGGTAAACCAGATGTGAACATAAAATGTATTATATTTAAAATTTAATATTTAGAATTTAATAAAAGATGAAATAAAACTCTAATTCTACCTTTATATTACAAACAAGAAGCCGAACTTTCAAAAAAATCTTAAAACAGTTTATTTAAGCATAATATAAATATTACCATAATACACACAGCGTCGTCCGTTTTCGACATAATCTTTAAATATAGACATAACAATATATAAATCTTTCCTTTATACATATTTTTGGTTTCTTGAACCGTTTTCGCAGCGCACGCAACGGGAGTCCTCAAATAAGGATACTAATTTCTCCCTTTTTATCCACATTTTCCGCTGTTCCTTTGCTCGTAATGGTCGAAATGTGATGCTATACAGACTAAAGCATTCGTCAATAAATGATCTATCCAAGACAATAATAAAAAAAAAAAAATTTGAACAATGTTTAATTCAAACCAGTTCCTGAGATTAGCGCATTCAAACAATAAACAAACTCTTCCGCATTATAATATTGGTATTAATGAATATTATGTTTTTTAAACAACAAAATACAACAATTTAACAAACATTTTCTCCTTACAGTGTAACATTAAAATTTCATATACTTTTCTTTAATTATAAGAGTTAAATACTAATAAGTTTAAAAAGTTATCATCTACAGATAGGGTTAGCTATAAACAAAAGAATATTAGTAATGTCTAGTAACAATAATAAAATTAATAATTTAGTTTCCTAAAATATGTCTCCTTTAGAGGATCTAGAAGTAATTTACTGTAACAAATCAACGTGGAGCATAAACATTCCTGTATTTGTTGATGCTATTTACTCTATGTAAGAAAAACACGAACTTAACTAATTATTATGTTTCTCGGGAATTTAAACTTTCGCTTTAACCACTGAACCATAGAGACGGTCAATTTGAAATTAATGTAACTGCTTTAATGCTTTTAGTCAGTTTAAAACAGTGTCCATCTTCATTCTCTTTCGAAATATATTAACAATTCAAACACAAACGTCTACAACATGGAGGAGAACCGCTATTAGATTGTATAATCTAATGCGCTGTTCACAAAAATGTTCTCTATCCTATTCACATAAGCATTAAAATTCTATCGCACTTGACTCTTTTACGGTACTGCCCTTCGGAGCGTTGCAATCAAATTTTGCACATTAAATATTTACTCGATTCTAGCGTTTATACTTTCAGAACCACGTGCATACATTTATTCGGCTAATGCAGAACATGGCTGATTTCATTAGAAATATTAGTAGAGTTAGGACAGTTTACATTTGTGTTTTGTGCTCACAGACAGGGAATAACTTCGACAAAACTCTGTCAACTCAAATATGCCGTCGTGGCTTCATAAACTAAAGTGTGTTTAGCAAAAATGAAAGTTTGTTATTTATTGATAATTTAATCAATGATAGCTAAAGCACGCTTTTAAAAAGACAATATATAAAATAAAGCAATTCAATTTCGATATATCATACTTTTTTTTCTATCTTAGTAGACGACAACAGCATTATTATGAATAATCAGTTAAAATATTTTGAGTAAAATTATTACGCGTATTGTAATATATTTTTATGGTTATATTCGGCAATCATTAAATTTTTTTACAATAAACAAAAGAGTAAAGTATTCCTATATTTTCTGAAATACTAAAGAGAAACAAGTAAAATATGGGGTATTTAATTCATAATGCATTTAATAAATCAAATGTTATTTATTAAATACAGTTAGATACAATCATCACTATATTGAATATATACAATATCCTTAGTTGATTTCTCTTAATAAATATTTTGCAGAGCTTTATTTTGACTAAGTTCTCCATTATCTAAGATATTGAATTGCATAAGGAAGCGATGAAAATGAAATTAAATGTAAGTAAAGATTACTTCTTATCGTCCTACTTATATAAAATAGGTGTAGATAAGGACTTGACGCTAAAAATTGCATGACGCGAACAATTTAAAATCTTTTAATTAACCTAGCCTCGCCTCTTCCTCTTTTATATATACGAAATTTTACAGTAAAAAAGGGAAGGATGCAGAAAGCCAATTAAAAGTTTTCGCAGATAAATTAACAGAATACAACAGTGAACTAGAATAAACACAGAAGGGTTTAAAAGAAGAAATTTCTACTTGCTACATTAATCTACAAAGAGGATAAAAATTAATTATAAAATAAGATATCAATTAGACTACATCTTATCTAATAATATATATTTATAATAATTTTAAGATGATAACAATAACTTACATAAACAATAAAAAATAACTTAGTTATAAGCTGAACTTATTTTTATATTATTAACAGATGGTCAGGTTCCTCCGGCAAAGGAAATTTCTTCCATGTTTTTTGATGTTCCCATCCTACCATCTTTTGACATTATCTCCTCCCTTTCTCCTTCCGTATCTGGGACACAAATATTTTTGATCCTTTAACCAACAATATACCTAAAATACAATTAAGATACGATCACAATTTAAATTAATAATGTGGCGAAAAGATACAAAGAGACAAATCAATAATTGTTTACCATATAGTACATATTTTTGTCTTTAATCGGATTGGATAAATCTCGTGGCAATTCATTCCCTATTTAGCCCCCCTTGACTGCAAAGTATCCGAAGCATCGGGTCGTAAAGTTCTATAAAAAAATAACTTCTATAATTCGTATTCTAAAATATTAAAAGAGCTTTATATAATATTACGATTTATTCATTGGTATTAAATAAAATAATTAAATTGAATTATTGTTAATAAATATACTAATATGATTCGAATCACTGCTGGAGTATAAATGGTTTGTTAATTGATGAGGCGTTAGCAACGGCCGGTTTGAAAGCCCTGGATTAAACGGGAAGTAACTAAGAAGGTGAGTCTAGACAGGTAAGTAACACCGGTTTGCGATCGCGCTAATATTATATACGATTTGACCGCAGCATCGTACGTGTAAAAACATTTTTTAAATACAACACTTTTAACGTCATACAATAGTTTTTTGCACCAGCAGCAACCGAGGAAAGCTTTGTTATAAGTGAAATAAATTAAAAATTAATTACATTTTTGTCGCTTGAAACCGTTAAAAGTGTGTTATTTAAATGTGTATAAACAATTTATGGCCATTTTTAAAGATACAGAAGATTGTGTTTAGTGATTTTTATCCAGGAATTGAATCCACCTTCACGCTATACAATGCAAGCTCACGGGTTCACAGTTGACGTATTGCGGTTGGTAATATCAGGTTGGTAACAAAAAACGTGAACTACCCGAACCAAATATAAAAACGTACACGGTACGTCTTTGAACATCCAGCGCAAGTAGAT